GCGTCGTCCGTCACCTTCTTGGTGTACAGATGCCGGTGGTCAAAGGTGCAGGTGCCGGGCCCGGCTTCCACTGGACACACACTTTCCAACTCCCGGCTTGGCCCGAAGCGCTGCCCATTGCCTGGGGTGCACTGAAGTTTGAGCCGTAGCCCGATGTCGGCATTGGACGGGGTGTAGACGCGCTCGTCCACACCCGTCTCAGTCCAACCAGGAGAGGGCGAAGAGGGAGACAACGATGAGGGGCCTCCGCCCTCAGGTTCTGCCGCTCCCGGTTTGGTTTCCTTGTACCAGCGGAATAGAGAGCCGGCGGGATCCCCAAATTCGACGCCGAGCTTGGGGAACACCGGGAAGCCAGCCATGATGTAGCGCGGCAACTGCAGCTCGGTGAAGGCGGGAGGGTTGCGCTCCACCTTGTACTTGACATCGCCGATCTGCAGCACCGCACCGTCCTGCCAGGCGTCCACATTGAGCACGTCTTCAGCCACTGCCTCCTCCCGGTAGTACAGTTTCACCACGGGCTCGCAGGCTGCAGCCGGCTCGGGCCCAGGCCCCGCACAGGACACGCCGCCGCTTGCGTTTGGCCGGTTCTTCCTGCTCTTCTTGGAGGCGGCCGCCTTCGCGTGGCCTTTGAGGGCATTGGTAGCGATCCGGCTGAGGGCCCGACCCAGCGGCTCGCTCTGGTCGCGCTGCATGTTCTTGTGGCTGCCGTCGGCCAGCGCAAACGACAGACTTAGCTTAGGCTCCGAGGGCACACAGCGCACCACAGCACGCTCCATCGCGCCTGCCACGGTCTCAGTCGCCGCCTCGGCCCGACTGTGCCGCTCCACTGCCGTACGGACCCCACGAAGCGCGGCACGGGCGCCTGGGAGCCTCCACATGAACCTGGTGGCCCAGAGGCTGACGAGCTCTGAGGCTGGTCGACCGTTAAGCGTCAGGTAGAAACAGAAGAGCCGCAGCCGCCGGTTCCGGAACCCATTCAGTACCTCAACTTCCGGCCGGCGAAGAGAGGGCGTACTGTGCTCCCGCCACGCACTTTCGCCAGGCCCGCTCACCAGCTCCTTTTTTCCATAGCCACTCCTGTCTCTAATCCATCCCAGCTTAATTTTTATCTACAACCAGAGTCATAAGGCTGGAAAAATGAAGAAAATATAGAAGTTCCAGAGGGAAATATTAGACTCCATGGTTTTATCGAAAGTGCAGTTAGCGGGCGGAAGCGAAGGCGCGCCCAAGACGGAACTGGCTGGGGTGGTGTCACGGGTTTCGCTTCCCCGGCGGAGGCTGGCGCAGTTCCTGGTTGTTAACCCCGTGCCTTCTGGTGCTTCCTGGGGCTTCCTCGCGCGAGGGCGTAGGGAACTCCACCCAGATTGCCAGCCTGGCTTCGGGTGTGGAAAGTGTTGCTCACTTCTCCACAGCATTCCCGAGGCTGCTCACCCTCTTCCGAGGTGTGGTGGGTTCACCTCAGGCATAGCCAGCGCCGACGCGCGGAGCAGAGCTTTTGTGGTAGTAACTACGAACGATATATAGTAGCTCCCAGTCAGTGAGCGGTGACTGTGCTAAAAACGTCTTTTACGGATGTGAGGACCAGAGAGATTAAGTTACCTCCTCAAGACCAAACAGACATTGCTGAATGAATGACAGGAGACTGAGAATAGCCAGTAAGTAAGAGGATATGAGAAATGTAGTTTCTTTGAAAGCCAAATGAAGAAAGTATTCCAAGAAACAGATTTTGTGTTGAATATAATTAATACTCTGATTAACTGAAGAAAAAAAAAAACTCTTGAAGATTCAAAGAACAAATTGAGAATTCGCTTCTCTCGACAAGTGATATGTTTGTATGTACTTTCCCGTCTCCTACAACTAGAATGTTTATTTATTGGGTATCTAATAATAAGCCATACCCTTTCCCCTGGCTTGCAATAAGGAAAATAAGCCTTTCTAAAAGAAGGATGAATTTTGCAGTCATTTGAAATGTATATTCCTGTCCTCCCCTCTCCCCACGCAGCAAGCAAGGTACCTGGATGCCTGGTGGTATGTATGTAATCTGGGGCTACAGTGTAGGGTAAAAGTCATTACATTGTATCAGTTGACTTAAGAAAATAAGTCTCAGTACTCCAGTTCATAGTATCATAGTACCCACATTAGCAAATATAAATTTTGAAATGGCATTGTTCTTCATGCATCTTTGCAGAACTCAATCTTAAATAATCTGATAGATAAAAGCCCTATTAGAAAATGTGGGAATTCCCTGGCGGTCCAGTGGTTACACCTCGAGGCTTTCACTGCTGAGGCCCAGAGTTCAGTCCCTGGTCTGGGAGCTAAGATCCTGCAACCCGCTCCGGGAGGCTTAAAAAAAAAAAAACCCTATTAGAAAATGACTTTCCTTTAAGCAAGCTGATCTAATTTAACACTGTAGCACTGTAGCAGTCTTAATCCGAATTTGAGACACATGCCTTGAAGTGTCATACTTTCTTTTAGGGTTTTTTTTTTGGTATTTAAATTTTTTCAAAGAGTAAAAACATATTCGTAGTGAAAAAAAGGTAATCTTCCCGCCTCTGACTCCTTTGCATGCACAAACATTTATGAATTTATACCCTTCCCCCCACTTTTTTGCACAGATAGGAATGTAGTATACCCATGGTTGTGCCTTCCTCTTTTCATTATCTTACATTATCTTTTGTCAGTTGTTTGAGGAGAAAGTATCTGCAAGTGTTCTGAAAGTGTCACAACTTGCCAAAGAAAGTTTAATCTGAACTCTACAGACTTAAAAATAATAAATGGTGTGTTTATTTTATGAGGCTAAACTGTAGCACAATTATGTATATAAATTATATACATTATATAATTAAAATTTGAGATTACAAGACTGAACCAATACTATGCTTTTCCTCATGCCAAAAAGGAGAAGCGTCTAATAGAAATCATTTTATTCATCCATTCTCAATTCATACCAAGAAACACAAGCTAACTTTCACTAATCAAAAGTTAACGGTTGCTGGAGTTATTTTTATTACTTATACATATATCTGCAGGAATTAGTGTGTGAAGACAAGTTTCTCGTAATACCCTCATTTAGTTAATAACATTGGCATAGATCATTAATATACTTTTATCTTTTTTAACTTAAGGTCAACTTGAAACTAATTTTGGGGGATAGCACTCAGAAATTTTGAGTAATTTTGGTGGTATCACTTCAGGGTAATCTATTTTCTCATATATTCAAAATTTAATAATTTATTTTTTTTGACTGCATTGGGTCTTCATTGCGCGTGGGCTTTCTCTAGTTGCGGTGAGCAGGGGCTACTCCTCGTTGCGGTGAGCGGGCTTCTCATTGCGGCAGCTTCTCTTGTCACGGAGCACAGGCTCTAGGGCACGTGGGCTTCAGTAGTTGTGGCATGTGGGCTCAGTAGTTGTGGCATACAGGCTTAGTTGCTCCGAAGCATGTGGGATCTTCCCAGAACAGAGGTTGAACCCGTGTTCCCTGCACTGGCAGGCGGATTCTTAACCACTGCGCTACCAGGAAAGTCCCCAAAATTTAATAATTTCTATTTGCTTTCTGTTTAAGGGAATCAATCTCTTCTATTTATTTGTTTCTTTTTAAATTATTTTTTCCAGTTTTACTGAGATATAATTGATATGTAACATTGTATTAGTCCAAGGTGTACAGCATAATGATTTGATATAGGTATATATTGCCAAATGATTACCACAATAAGTTTAATTAACATCCATTATGTCAAAAGTTAGAATTTTTTTTCTTGTGATGAGAACATCTAAGATTTATTGTTTGCAACTTTCACATATACTGTAGTCACCATGTTGCACATTATATACCCAGAACTTGTTTATCTTATAACTGGAAGTTTTTACCTTTTTGATCACCTTCATCCATTTCCTCCATCCACCCCCACCCCCGCACACCAATCTGTTGTCTGTATCTATGCATTAATTTTTTTTTGGATTCCACATATAATCGAAATCATACAGTATTTGTCTTTGTCTGACTTATTTCACTTAGCATAATGCCCTTGAGGTCCATCCATGTTGTCACAATGGCAGGATCTCCTTTTTTATTGTTGAATAATATTCCATTATATATCTGTATCTATATATCTATATCATATCTATATCTATATATCTTACATTTTCTTTACCAATTTATCCATCTATGGACACTTAACATTTAGGTTGTTTCCATGTCTTGGCTATTGTAAATAATGCTGCACAGAACATGGGGGTGCAGAGACATTTTTGGGATATTGCTTTTGTTTCCTTTGTGTGTATATATAACCAGAAATGGAATGCTGAATCATACGGTAGTTCTACTTCTAATTTTTTGAGGAACTTCTGTTTTTATACTGTTTTCCATAGTGACTACATCAATTTACAGTCCCACCAACAGTGCTATTTGTTTCTTATATTTTAAAATATTTATCATAATTTATGATTACATTATATATTAATATACTATATAGCATAGTATGTATATGATACAGCTATATAATTTTTTTCATTTTTAAAATTGAGATACAACTATATCACTTAATATAAGTATAATTAATGTTACTATAACAGCAATCAGAAACGTAGTTTGAAGAAAAAAAATTCAGTCAAAGAACTTATGTAAAACAACACAGTTTAGCTCCATAAAGAACTCTTAAGCATATGGACTCATTTCTTTTTCCTGCACTCCCATTCTTAATTTTGAAATAACAATACATAGTTTAAAGCATAGTAAGTTTGTTTCATAAATTCTCTTAGCATCTTCATCATTTCTATTTAGAAATAGAAAAAAACTTTTTGTATAGTATTGGAGAATCATATTTTGGTGTCATTATCCATAAGTGCTTTTATATAATCAAGCCTGGGCTTCCCTGGTGGTGCAGTGGTTAAGAATCCGCCTGCCAATGCAAGGGACATGGGTTCGAGCCCTGGTCCAGGAGGATCCCACAGGCTGCGGAGCAACTAAGCCCATGAACCACAACTACTGAGCCTGTGTTCTAGAGCCTGTGAGCCACAACCACTGAAACCTGTGCGCCTAGAGCCTGTGCTCTGAAATAAAGAGAAGCCACCGCAGTGAGAAGCCCACACACTGCAACTACAGAAAGACTGCGTGCAGCAACAAAGACCCAACATAGCCAAAAATAAAATAAATAAATTTATATTAAAAAAACCCCCTTACCATTGAGGCCGATGTTGGCTGTGGGTTTGTCATATATGGCCTTTATTATGTTGAGGAAAGTTCCCTCTATGCCTACTTTCTGCAGGGTTTTTTTTTAATCATAAATGGGTATTGAATTTAGTTGAAAGCTTTCTCTGCATCTACTGAGATGATCATATAGTTTTTCTCCTTCAGTTTGTTAATATGGTTTATCACATTGATTGATTTGCGTATATTGAAGAATCCTTGCATTCTTGGAATAAACCCCACTTGATCATGGTATATGATCCTTTTAATGTGCTGTTGGATTCTGTTTGCTCATATTTTGTTGAGGATTTTTGCATCTATGTTCATCAGTGATATTGGCCTGTAGTTTTCTTTCTTTGTGACATCCTTGTCTGGTTTTGGTATCAAGGTTATGGTGGCCTCGTAGAATGAGTTTGGGAGTGTTCCTCCCTCTGCTATATTTTGGAAGAGTTTGAGAAGGATAGGTCTTAGCTCTTCTCTAAATGTTTGATAGAATTCACCTGTGACGCCATCTGGTCCTGGGCTTTTGGTTGTTGGAAGATTTTTAATCTCAGTTTCAATTTCAGGGCTTGTGATTGGTCTATTCATATTTTCTATTTCTTCCTGATTCAGTCTTGGCAGGTTGTGCATTTCTAAGAATTTGTCCATTTCTTCCAGGTTATCCATTTTATTGGCATAGAGTTGCTTGTAGTA